GACATCTCGTCAATCATAGCATGTCGCCATCCTAGATGAGATAGTGCCTCACCTGTAGACTTACAGATAGAAACAATGGACAAAGAAGATATAAAAACATAATGAGGTGATGGCAAGCGATGATAACTTAAACCGACATAGTGGGGATTAGGATTAAGTGTGGATCGTACACCTTTGCGGAGTGCAATTGGTTGACTAAGAGGAGACAAGTCCGCAGTAGGTGCAGAATCTGATACGAGGCGTGAATCACCTGGTCCTGATGCTGGATGTGGACGACGATGATAAGTCAAGAGTGGTGGAGCTGCAGAAGGTTGAACTGGATTATGTGGAGGAACTGGAGCTATAGTTGGTGGAGCTACAACAGGAGCTGTAGGTGGTGGAGCTGGAGTGACTGAATCTCTAAAAGATGAAACTGGTAGTACCTCAGAAATATCTAAGTGATGACCGGAACCTGTGAAGTATGATTGGGTTTCAAAGAAGGTAATATCAACAGACATAAGGTACCGCTGGAGGTCAGGAGAGTAGCATCGATACCTCTTTTTGTGTTCTCGAGAAATCTAGAAATACGCACTTAAAAGCACGAGGAGCTAACTTATCTGTTCCTGGAGTAAGGTTATGGACAAAACAAGTGCTTCCAAAGATACGGGGTGGAAGAGATAACAAAGGTAAGTGGGGAAACATGACAGAGAATAGAACTTGGTTCTGGATAGCTGAAAATGGCATACGATTAATAAGATAGCAAGATGTAAGAATTGCATCCTCCCAAAAATGCAACGGAGCATGAGATTGTATGAGTAGGGTACGAGCAATTTCAATAAGATGTCTATTCTTTCTTTCAGCTACCCCATTTTGTTTAGTTGTGTACGGACAAGATGTTTGTTGAATAATCCCATGAGATTTCATAAACTGCTGAAACGGGGAAGACAAATACTCTCGGGAATTATCACTACGAAATGTGCGAATAGAAATCCCAAATTGATTTTGAATTTCAGCGTGGAAGGTCTGGAAAATAGAAAACAGCTCAGATCGATTTCTTATCAAAAATATCCAAGTGCACCTGGAATAATCATCAATGAAACTGATAAAGTAGCGGAATTCCAAGGTGGAACTGACCCGACTAGGACCCCAAACATCTGAATGGACTAAAGTAAAAGGTGACTCTGCTCGATTATCAAGACGCCGAGGGAAATGAGAGCGTGTATGCTTACCAAGCTGATATGACTCACACTCAAGAGCTGACAAGTGAGATAAACCAGATACCATTTTCTGAAGTTTTGACAAACTGGGATGTACCAATCGTTTATGTAATAAATCTGGTAAATCAGTAACAGGACAAGTTGTAGAAGGAAGACAAGATGTCCATGTGATTTAGTAAGGATAAGGTAATAAAGTCCGTTTGATTCACGCCCGGTACCAATGATCCGCCCCGTACTGCATTCCTGTATAAAAACATGGTCATCAAGAAATAAAACAACACATTTAAGTGATTTGGCTAAGCGACTAACAGCTATGAGATTAAAAGGACTATTGAGAATATAAAAGGACTAAATCTAAAGGTAAGGAAGGAAGTGGGCTTGCTTGACCTATTGCAGTTGCCATGGTTTGAGACCCATTGGCCATTGTGACTTTTGGAAGAGATTGAGAATACGAAATAGTAGTGAAAAGAGATTTGTTACCAGAAATATGATCTGATGCACCTGAATCAATGACCCAAGACTCAGAGGATGAAGATTGGGAGAAACAAGTCACGCTATTACCTGTTTGAACAACAGAAGCTATCTCAGAAGATGTCTGCTTACATGCTTTATANGAAGATGTCTTCTTACATGCTTTGTACTGAAGGAACTCAATATAATCTGCTAAAGAAACCATCCGACTATTCAAAGCATCGGTTCCAATGTCGCTACAATTTGTAGTAGTAGGGTTAACTTGAAATAGTGGAAATAAGTAATTCCTGTGAAAAAAATGAAGAACTAGTTTGAAAAACACTGTTTGCAACAGGAAAACAGAACACTGTTCTGCGCCGGAAACACTGTTCACACTGAAAACACTGTAGCTCGCCGGAATCTACTGTAGCTGCAGGAAAAACTCAAAGTGGTCGGAATGAAACAAAACCAGTGAGTGTAGAATCGAAATTACCAGGCAATCCTATTGTTCAACTGAAACTTTTTCAAAATCTGGCCGGAACAGTGCTCACGCGCCGGCGCGTGGGTCAGATCTTGCCGGAAATTTTTTTCTTTTCCAGGCGCGTGAGGGCGCGTGGACGTGTGTTTTCCGGTGGAGTTGACTGGGGTTTGGTTGCCGGAGCCTGAAGAATCTTGTGGTGGTGTTGATTTTTGCACAACACCAACAGAAAGTGATTTGCTTACGGACAACTTTCTAAGTCGCCGGAAAATTGCACGGCGAAGAGGTCTTTCTTCCCGGAAGTCGCTGGAATGATGCACAACGACGGGTTTCTCACTAATGCTCTGATACCATGTGAGAAGGCACGGGAGAAAATATATTATTGATATTGAATGATAAATACAATACAAGAGGTCCCTATTTATAGCTATACACTACAAGGAGATATTACTCCTCTTCCAATATGGGACAAGACTACACTATACATATCTGTAAACTAACACTAGGTATTGAGGTTGCTCAGTCTAGCTTAAGTATTGTAATCTCACCACGGAAGTATGCCTTAGACATTCGTGAGGAGACAAGAATGACATGATGTAGACCTGTTGACACTCATATGGATCCGAATTCTAAACTTCTACCAGGACAGGGGGAGCCGCTTAGCGATCCTGGAAGATATATGCGGTTGGTTGGTAAATTAAATTATCTCACAATGACTAGACCTGACATTTCCTTTCCTGTGAGTGTGGTAAGTCAGTTCCTGGATTCTCCCTGTGATAGTCATTGGGATACAGTTGTCCGCATTCTTCGATATATAAAATCAGCTCCAGGCAAAGGATTATTGTTTGAAAATCGAGGCCATGAGTAAATTGTTGGGTACTTAGATGCTGACTGGGCAGGATTACCTTCTGATAGATGTTCTACGTCTGGATACTGTGTTTTAGTAGGAGGTAATTTGGTGTCTTGGAAGAGCAAGAAATAAAATGTGGTTGCTCGGTCTAGTGCAGAAGCAGAATATCGAGCAATGGCTGTGGCAACATGTGGGCTAGTTTGGATCAAACATTTGCTTAATGAGTTGGAATTTGGTGAGATCAGCAAGATGGAACATGTGTGTGATAATCAAGTTGCCCTTCATATTGCATCAAATCTGGTGTTCCACGAGAGAACTAAACACATCGAGATTGACTGTCACTTCGTCAGAATACTCTCAGGAGATATTGCTACAAAGTTTGTGAAGTCGAATGATCGGCTTGCATATATTTTCGCCAAGTCTCTTACTGGTCATCGTATTAGTTGCATATGTAACAAGTTAGGTACATATGATTTGTATGCACCGGCTTAAGGAGGAGTGTTAGATAGTTATGTAAATTATATAAATTCGTCCTAGTCCTACATAGAATACGAGTATGATATGTATTGTATAAATAAGGCTCATTGTATTATAATTAAATAGAATATCAATAATAGATTTTTCTCCCGTGCATTCTCACAAGCCCAAACTGGGCCTTCGATAGTATGTGCTAGATGTTTCCCAATACGCATATCCTATTTGTTTCTTTAGTCTCATTCTTCTAGCAACTTTTTTGTTTATCACGGTTATACAAAAATCTTAAGTTTTAAACTTAATATCCAGTTCCAAATTCGATTTGTGTCTTTATAAGTTCCTACAATTATCGTGCCTTTTGTGTTCGCCTCCAACACGACGTTTGCGTCCTCATTTGTGCTACCACGATTATAACTTGGTCTTTTTGGCATGAAAATATGAGAAAAGAATTTCATGTTTGAAAAGACAAAAAATGGAAGTTTCTCTTATTTCATGGTTAATGGTATTATGCAATGTGGTTGAGGTATAAGACAGGTATAAATATGATGTGACTTGTCCAAAAATAGAATGGCAAAATCCAGTGCTGTTGCTGGATTTCTTCTTGTAATGTCTGGTAGTGGTAAAATAATTTATAAGTATGATGTCTGTTTTTTATATAGTCCTTTTGATGCTATCAAATTTTTATGTGACCTTTAATTTCCAGTAAAACTGAAGCTTTTTACCTTAAGTTAGATTGTCTGATGACTGTAGATATTCATTAAACTACAATTATAGAGGTGTGTTCATGGTTAAAGGTTGATAGGTATTTTCTGCTGTTTCAGGTGAAGGCTTTTTCAGAAAAGACAGGTGGCCCTCTTTTTGCCGAGGACATTGTGTTTCGGTTGCCTGGATTGAAAGGTGGAAAGCTTTGGAAGGAAGAGCATGATCTGCTGCTGCTACGAGCAGTGTTAAAGTATGTAACTTTTCATCTCTGCTGATCTATATCATGAATTTAGGAACTGTCGAACCAGTTGAAATAACTCTGTAGATCTGAAATTGCACTTTATAAAGAAAGACAAGTATACGAGTTGATTAGATTGCATATACCAGTAGTGAAGAAAGACGTAAAAGTCTGGATTAAATTTAAAGAGATGAAGGCTCTTAAAAGATGATCCTTTGTATTGGTCTCATACTTAATTGGCTTACTTTCCTTTCATTTATCACAACTACTTGAACCCTTCCTCAAATGCTAAAAAGTAAATATGGTTTATCTAAAAAATTCACAGTAACATATTAAGATACTGATACCCTTGACTCCAAATACTTGATTGGAAGAACTTATCCTGCACCTTATAAATGTAAAACTTGTTTAAATGCTCCAAATCTTGGCTGAATAACTGGAAAGAATTTGCTGTGATCAGTTTATGTTTCATGTCATAATTTTTACTGTTTGACATCAAGATTGCCAAGATGCATCTTGCATATGTTCTAGACCCAAACTTATAATGATTGCACTGTGTTTCGAGGCCTGGTCTTTCTTATTAATCTGCTTCAGACTGCAATTTTGTGTGTTCACACCATGGAAACCATCATCTCACATTTGCTCCTTGAAACACAAGTTTATGTATTTAGGGTCACGTATTTTTCACTGTACATTTCTATTAAGTTCATCTTAGTAGATTGGTTCATCTCTGGATTTCGGCAACTGGGAGCATAACTGTTCAATCAATAACTGCGGTAGATATTGCCAAGTTCTGCTGATATTGTTTTTAATTTGTTGTGTCTTTCTGGTTGTGTAGGCATGGTTATGGAAGATGGCAGGCAATTGTTGATGATAAGGAGTTGAGGATTCAAGAGATCATCTGTAAAGAGCTCAATCTTTCCTTCATAAATTTACCGGTTCCCGGAGCTTCTCAGCCACAAGTTCCTCCTGCTCCAGGAGCTTCCCAAGAACTTCCTGCTTCAGGAGTTTCCCAAGCTCAAGTTACTGTTCCTGGAGCTTCTCAAGCAGCAATTGGTGTAAATACAGCTAATGCTGAGCCTGCTGGAGCTGCTGGAAGCCAGGTGAAAGCTACTGGTGATGGGAATGCCCATGGGGCTTACCTTTCACATGGGACAAGCGATCCTTCAAATAGACCACAACCTTACCAAGATCCATCTTCATTATATCATTTTAGAGAGATGCAGAGAAGACAAGTGGAATTCATAAAGAAAAGGGTGCTGCTTCTTGAAAAGGGCCTTAATGCTGAATATCATAAAGAAGCCTTTGTAAGTTGTCTTATTACAACAACAACATACCCAGTTTAATCTCACAAATGGGGTATGGGGAGGATCGTGTGTACGCAGACCTTACCCCTATCTTGTGCAGGTAGAGAGGTTGTTTCCGATAGACTCTTGGCTCAAGGAAAGCAAAAATCATAGCAGTTTAAAACGAAATATGATAGCGAAAAAGACGTGGAATAAGAAGCATTGATAACAACTAGATAATAAGAGAGCCAAAGCATAAGAAACATTAGGTAGTAATGGAAATTTAAGACTAATAATAATAGTACTACTGGTAAGGGAAGGAAATACGTCGGACTACCTACTAACCTTCTACTCTAATTCTCGACCTTCACACCTTCCTATCAAGGGTTATGTCCTTGATAAGCTAATGATGTGCCATATTCTGCCTAATCACCTCTCCCCAATACTTCTTTGGTCTATCCCTACCTTTCCTTAGGCCCAAACCTCTCATACCTTCTCACTGGGGCATCCGTGCCGCTCCTCTTACGTGCCCAAACCATCTTAGTCTCGCATCCCGTATTTTCTCCACCACGAAGGCCATTCCCGCCTTATCCTCACTATCTTCATTCCTAATCCTATCTTTCCCATTATGCCCGTACATCCATCTCAGCATCCTCATATATGTTAAATTCATTTTTTGGACATGAAAGTTCTTAACTGGCCAACATTTTATCCCATACAATATAGTCGGTCTAACCACCACTCTGTAGAACTTACCTTTAAGTTTTGGTGGCACATTTTTATCACACATGACACTGGATGTAAGCCTCCACTTTATTAATTCTGCTCCAATATGATGTGTGAGATCATCGTTAATCTTCCCATTACCTTGGATTACTAACCCAAGATGCTTGAAACTTCCTCTCTTAGGGATGACTTGTGTATCAAGTCTCACTTCCACTTCCGCCTCATGAGTTCTGTCACTGAACTTGCACTCCAAGTATTCTGTTTGTCCTGCTTAACCTGAAACCTTTAGATTCCAGGGTCTGTCTCCAAACCTCCAACCTAGCTTTAACTCCGCTTCTCGTCTCGTCAATCAACACTATGTCGTTCGCAAATTACATACATCATGGCACCTTCCCCTGAATGTGATGTGTCAATTCATCTATCGCCAACGCAAATAAAAACGGACTAAGAGCTGATCCCTGGTGTAACCCCATCATGACTGGGAAGTGTCCTGAGTCTTCTCCAACTGTCCTTCCCGGGTCTTAGTTTCATTATATATGTCCTTAATTGCCCTAGTGTATGCAACAAGTACACCTTTGGCCTTCAAACATCTCCATAGGACCTTTCTTGGGACTTTGTTGTATGCTTTCTCCAGGTGAATGAATATCATATGCAAGTCCCTCTTCTCCTCTCTATACTGTACCACCAATCTCCTTACAAGATGTATGGCTTCTGTGGTCGATCGCCCCGTCATGAATCCGAATTGGTTCTCCGAAAATAGGAACCCACCTTCTCACCCTCATCTCCACTACCCTCTCCCAAATTTTTATAGTGTGGCTTATCAGCTTGATACCCTCATAATTGTTGCAATTTTGAATATCACCCTTGTTCTTGTACAACGGAATCATTGTGCTCCAGTTCCATTCTTCGAGTATATTCGCCGTTTTGAACAGCCCAGTTAACCACTCCAAACCTGCCCTGCCCACGCTCTTCGAAAATTCCACTGGGAAGAGTCTGACCCGGTCGCTCTTCCCCAGCTAATCTTGCGCATAGCCCTCTCAACCTCCACAACCTTTATATGCCTACAATACCCAAAATCTCGTCGGTTCTCGGAGTGCTCCAAATCACCAAGCGCAATACTATGTCCCCTTCTTCGTTCAAGAGTTTGTGGAAGTATGTCTGCCACTTCCGTCGAATGTGTGCCTCTTCTGCCAATACTATGTCTTCCTCGTCTTTGATGCACTTTACTTGGTCTAGGTCATGAGCCTTTCTCTTTCTTGCCTTGGCTAGCCTGTACAACTTCTTGTCCCCCTCTTACCCTCGAGATCAGCATACATGTGTTCAAACGTACCCGTTTTCGCTGTCGTTACAACTAACTTTGCCTCCTTCCTCGCTGTTTTATACCACTCCTTGTTCGTCCTTTTCTCCTCTTCGTCTTTGCTTTTCACTAACTTCAAATATGCGGCCTTCTTGGCTTCCACTTTCCCTTGGACATCTCCATTCCACCACCAATCCCCTTTGTGTCCACCTGAGTAATCCCTCGAGACCTCCAACACCGCTCTAGCCGTGCCCCTAATGCAATCCGTCGTCCTGGTCCACATACTACTCGCATCCCCACTACGCCTCCAAGCCCTTATTGCTATAACTTCTCCCCGAACTCCTGAAATTTTTCCCTTGTCAAGGCTCCCTACTTGATCTTAGGTTGACCATACACATCCTTCCTCTTTCTCTTAATCTATAGGTCCATTACCAAGAGCTTATGTTGGATCATAAGATTCTCACTCGGGTAACCTTGCAGTCCATGCATCAACCTTTATCACACTTCCTAAGGAGTGTAATCAATTTGGGTCTTGGTCACCGCACTCTGGAAGGTGACCACGTGCTCTTCCTGCTTCTGAAAAACCAAATCAAACACTTCAGCGAAATCCAACAAAGAAGTTCCTACATTTGTATCCTCAACTGCCATGCACATCGTCATACCCCTTTCCGATGTGATGCTGGATTGCATGTGATCTAATTATGAAATCCATCAATTTATGCCTCAGCCCAAACAAGTTGGGGTTTGCTATATGAATCCTCACTTCTCCATTATGCTCAACTCATGTCATCATCATACCTTAATATATTTTAATATATGTAAACAATAATAGATAATACTAATAATGTTAGAAGTTCTCTAACAAGTCTAAAACTTATTCCCAACTAGTAGATATCGCCTATATGGATCTTTTTCTTCCATTGTGCCCTATCTTTAACTAAGTCTACATTGATTCCAAGCATTTGTAGGTCTATCGAGACAATTTCTTTCCTTGTAATTTTTAGGTCTACCCTGTCCCATTTTTAACACTTTCACTATTACAGTTCCACACCTAATGATCGATGCATCTGAAGGTTGACGCAGGACATGAACAAACCATCTCTGGCGACCTTATCTTTTTATCCTCAGTGTGCTACTTGCACCTTCTGGCGAATGTGGTCATTATTAATCTTATTTAATCTTGTATAGCCATGCATCCATCTTAGCATCCGCATCTCTCAACAGTCAGCTTGTGAATATATTGGAATTTAGTGGCCAAGCATTTACTACCCTATAACATTGTCGGTCTTATAGTTGTTACGTAGACTTTAATTTCACTTTGGTTAGTATCATTCTATCATATAACATTCTGGTAGCACCTCACCATTTCAGCCATGCGGTTTTAACTTTGTGAGTAACATCTGTATCTGTCATTCCATTCTATTGAAAGCCTAGATATCGAAATTATTTTCATTTTGGCATAGCAATCCCGTTTAGTTTCACTCAACTTCGCTCTTCTCATGTTGGCTAAATTTGTTGGGCATGTATTATGTCTTACTTTTACTTATCCTAAAACTCTTACTCAATAAAGTGCTTCTCCATGGTTTAAGCTTTTGCTTGACACCCTCTCTGGTTCTGTCATATCATCAGTAAATAGCATACATCATGAGACCTATCTTGTATTATGTAGGTTAGCTCATTCATAACTAGGATAAACTAGTAGGGGCTCAATGCCGATCCCCGGGTATAGACCCATTGTCGTGGAAAACTCCTTTTTAAAATCTCCTATTACTGTTCTCCCTCTAGTGATGGCTTCTTCATACATGTCCTTTCAGTATATATCAAATCAGATTAGAGAGCTAGTTCAAGTAATTTCAATACTCCCTCTGTTTCAATTTAGATGAGGTAGTTTGACTCGGCACGTAGTTTAAGGAAAAAAAGAAGACTTTTGAAATTTGTGGTCTTAAAAGCTTAAGGGGTAAAAACTTTGTGGGTCCATGACATTTGTGTGATTATAAAAGCTTCTTATTAAGGGTAAAATGGGTAAAATGAAGAGTTTAAAGTTGAATTATTTTCAATTGTAGATATGTGTCATTCTTTTTGGAACGGACCTATATGGAAAGTGTGTCATCTAAATTGAAACATAGGGAGTAGCTGTTTTATGTTCTCTGAGATTCATAGTACTATGTGCCTGGTTTGGCAGGTTAGCTCATGAATTGAACAGCATATTCTCACTATTATAGAACTTTGTGGGTTCCCAACTGTATATAAGGATAGATTTTCTCCTCTATAATCAATCAAGCCTTGAGAATTTGAGCCGCTCTCTTGAGAAAGAACTGTTGGATATGTTTGAAACTCACTACAATTCTTGGACTTGCTTAATTGCTTCAAATTCTGTCAGTGAACCAGTTTTTGAAATCTAGGTCACCAGGTGTGGCAGCTCCATTGGTTACTTCTGTGGAGAGCTACACTTGTAATGTTATACTGATCCTTGCATGTTTCCTCTAGGGTGATGAAAAATCTCATGAACTCCCTAACGAAGAGATGGTGTGTGATACCAAGGCTGCGGATGAACCAAATCGAAATTTTGATGAAGCCAATACTGAAATGATTGATCATTTCCCTAGACTTGTAGCAATTTGTAAGTAGAGACATTTACCCTCCTCGAGTTTTCTATAGTGTGTCATGTAGTAAAGGCACTGACCTAGTATCCAATCATGCTCTTCTTTGAATGCAGCTCCACAGGGAATCTCTCAAGTTGCTTGTGATCGTAAACCAGATCGTTTAGGTGTTGCAGAGCTTTATAACAAGGTGAATATTTCACTGACAAACATACTTCGACTTCATCTTATGCATAATTTGACAAACTTGCCAGTACAAAGACGATAAAACCACATATTTCTCAGCAAGTATTCTAAAGATGATACTTATATGTTTTTTTGTCTGTTCTGCAGATGTGCCAGGTACTTTCTGGAGATGTCCAAGATTCATTAAATGTGAGTCACCCTTGTATGAGAAAGAACATCCTTCCATTGGAAGCGATTTGTCAACAGATGAACCAAATTCTTTCTTCATCACATCAAAATACTCCTAATTTCAAGAGGGAACTGGTTCAAGAAAATAGGGATTCTGAAGCTAGTAAATCCAGTATTCCAGTCCTATCATCTCAAGTAGTTAATAGGGTGCTCAATACCGAGAAAGAAGATGACAGTCATCCAAAAAATTCAGAATCTGTATCCAAGAGTGCTAGCAATTGTACAGTTGCAAGCATGGCTGAGAGCAACGAGCACCACAACATTTCTCCTGCAGAAGTTCCAGAGACTAGACCTAGTGGTTTATCAACCGGAGAAGCTGATATAGAGATGGTGGATCATAGTGACATTTCCACCACCAATGTTGACAGAAAAGAAGAATTAGGTTCTGAGGCTGTTCGTATAGATGATGATTAAAAGTGAATCTATGTATGTACTTTTGTCTGCTAGCTGCTACAAACACTTATAAAAAATGACGGTGACATTTTTCTTACTCCAAGTTGATAAACACTGTTGAGGGAGGAGCCTCTGTGTTGTACTCTATTCTCCCTAATATCCCATGTTTTGATGGACATATTATAAAATGAGAATCAGCATAGTCATACTTCAGAGTTCTGGTCTTCTCACAGGTTCTACTGAGTCATTCTCCGTATTATTGCAGTAGAATGAAACTTCATGGTTTTTCAGAGAGTTTTGATGTGTATTCTTGAATTTAGTCTATTCCTTCAGTTTAATCTGATGAAATCTTTTAGTTAGTCTTGTAGCTTCCCATTCTTCATTGCGGACATGACATATGCTTCACTAAAATAGGGAAAAGGGGAAACTGTCTAGGCGAAGTTGCGGATCCCTCTTATTCTACTTGTTGTATTGACTTCCTTTTGTTATAGTAGTAAACTTTGGAGATTTACCATGATAATACTACTTTGGTATTTTATTTTCCTTTAACTATGATTATTTTAAAAATATTTGCAACACTACAGCAGTCAGCTACGAGAAAGCTACATTTTTATCATTCTTTTTAAAAAAGAAATTGCTCTTTGAGACCCACGGGGCTAGATAACACTTTAAAATGTGGTACTTTGTCTTGTATCTCGAGGGTTACAAGGTCTTTTAGACTATTATATTAACATTGTTACATTATCTTGGATTATCTTTGGTCTATGAGAAAATGAGGTATTAATTAATGAATTATAAGATAGGGTTTTTCTCAAAATTTAAAGCAAATGGAGTAAAGGAGTTGCTATATTGTCCATGTCAAGAACGGGTGAGACACCAGATGAGTCCATGAGGTTCGCAAGTGATCAGTTAGTTTTCTTCAAAAAAAAATCATGAAGATTGATCAATGTAAGAGACCAACCCAGAGATGTAATTATACACAAGCAATGAGTTAGGTGGCCAAGATTGATTGGTCTTGTACCCCATATATAATTATATAGCTACCTTAAACTTAGAGAAATGAGTGGCATCCTGCAATTGATCAAGCAAATCATTCTTGTGAAGCAACATACTTATCGCTTTGTTAATTATTGATAATCAAGGAACGTGCATATTGAACTATCCGCAAGTGCTTCCTATGATGAAATACTAAATCTGAACCCTACCCCTATTAAGCAAGTCTTGTATCTATTCCTTTCAATTCTCTGAACTTCAAACAGAAATAAGTTGTGATACATATATCAATCAATATAAAACTCAATCTCCCGCATGTGAAGCCGTCATTTGGGAACATATGCATCGGGTTACTCACATATGACTCAAACGTACACTATCGAGCATAGTATCCTCAGCTCGAGTGTTATTGACTATGCTATAAGCCCATACAATCCATATTAATACTTTTCTAATCCCTCATGAAAAATATGATATTGCTCTTAGGCACAACTGTCATACCCTTCAACTCAAAATACAAATCACAACCCTGTATTCATGTAAACTTCACAAATCACAACCTGGGCGTACGTGGTGGTTGAATGTGTTGCATGGCATGCACCGATCGATCAAGCAATATACATAATCACATCAAAGTCTATAATGCATGTGTGGCAGTATCATGTAAACCATCGTATCTTTACCCAGTATTGCAACATTATATTATCGATAAACAACTATAGACTCCTCCACCAGAATAAAAATTGATCATAAAAAATATCAAGGCCCTTAATTATTCTTCCTCAACTACAGTGTTATCCCATCGATGATATGCCCCTCTCTCTCTCTCTCTTTTTATTTATTGATCAGTTGCTTGTCTACCGTCCTTATATATATGACTCTCATAGTATTGTTGTGCTAGGGTCTTTACTGTCTCTAAAATATACGCAGACCTTACCCTACCTTGTGAGGATAGAGAGGTTGTTTCCAATAGACCCTCGGCTCAGGAAAGAATAAGCATCACATTAATGAAAATATAAATACGAAGGGACAGTACTAAAAAGCCATATAAAAGCAGAATAAAAACAACAAGATAGTAAGGTGATCAACAATGAAAGAAAATAACGGTTAGTAATAAAAACCTACTACCAACAGAAAGCGAGAGTGCGTACTAATACTACTGGTATGAACAATCTACCACCTACTCCACTACCCTAATCCTCGACCTCCACAACTTCCAATCAAGGGTCATGTCCTTAGTCAGCTGAAGTTGCGCCATGTTTTGCCTAATCACCTATCCCCACTTCTTCTTCGGCCTACCTCTACCTCTCTGTTAGGCCCTCCAATGTCAACCTCTCACACTTCCTCACCGGGGCATCAGTGCTCCTCCTCCTCACATGTCCAAACCACCTAAGCCTCGTTTCCCGCATCTTGTCCTCAATGGGAGCCACACCCACCTTATCGCGAATAACCTAATCCTATATAACTTGGTGTGCCCACACATCCATCTCTATATTCTCATCTCTGCTACCTTCATCTTCTGGACATAGACGATCTTGACAGGCCAACACTCAGCCCCGTGCAGCATAGTCGGTCGGACCACCACTCTATAGAACTTACCTTTAAGTTTTGGTGGCACCTTCTTGTCACACAAAATACCAGAAGCGAGTCTCCATTTCATCCATCCTGCCCCAATACGATGTGTGACATCTTCATCAATCTCTCCATCCCCCTGAATAATAGACCCAAGGTACTTAAAACTTTCTTTTCTAGGGATGACTTGCGAGTCCAACCTCACCTCCCTTTCCCCTCCTTGGGTCTCACCACTGAACTTATACTCCAAGTATTCTGTCTTGGTACTACTCATCTTGAAACCTTTAAACTCCAGGGTCTGCCTCTACACCTCTAACCTCGCGTTCACACCGCCTCACGTCTCATCAATCAATACAATATCATCTGCAAATAACATGCACCACGACACCTCCCTTTGGATGTGGCGCGTTAGAACGTCCATCGTCAGGGCAAACAAAAAAGGGCTGAGTGTCGACCCTTGGTGCAACCCCATCATGATCGAAAAATGATCGAAATCCCCTCCCACCGTCCTCACTCGGGACTTTGCTCCATCATACATGTCCTTAATCACCCTAATGTAAGCAACATGCATGTACACCTCTAGCCTCCAAACACCTCCACAAAAGCTCCCTCGGGACTTTATCATACACCTATTCTAAGTCGATGAACATCATATATATACAAGTCTCTCTTCCTCTCCCTATACTGCTCTATCAAACTCCTAACAAGGTGAATGACCTCTGTAGTCGAGTGCCCTGACATAAACCTGAATTAGTTCTCGAAAATAGACACACTCCTCCTTACCCTTAGCTCCACCACCTTCTCCCAAACTTTTATAGTATGGCAGACTCAAGAATAGATAATATTAGAAATTAAGTATCCAACAAGAAAAAATCTAATATGAGAGAAAATATATCAAATACCTTATGACTTATTAATCAAGATGATAGAAGTGGAACTAATTTAGTTTTAATAAGAGTAGCAAAATAGGTTTGGTTGTTGGGACCGTTGCCGTTAATTACATATTGACTTAAAGTCGTTTTCATAATCCTAATGCCTAAGGAAATTTTTTAAAACATTGTTTATCTTTAACTTAATATATAAATATATTTTTCATATATAAATTTATTCAGTATGGTTCAATATTTTTTCGATTTATTTTTGTAAAATTAAAAACTTGATCTAATTATTCGGTATTGTTATAGATTTACATAAAAATGTACGATTTTATAAAAAAAAATCTCTTAGTCGATTCGGTCAGTTTAATCGATTTTTAAAAGTTCATTGACACCCCTACTTAGAGGTCATTTGGTTACCAGGTATAATAGACAAGGATATTTCATGAATTAGTTATCCTACCTTCTATATGCTATAGCTAATTCCACTATTTTGATATAAAATTTATCTCACCACTAAACTAATATCTATATTTATATATGAGAATAATACAATCTAATATTCTATCTCGAAATTAGTATCCATAACCAATGTACCATTTAGGATTTTAAACTAAGCTCTGATATCAATAACTTTACAATGGGTTTTCCACCTATTTTAATTAGGTTCTTCAATTATTTTAACATAGCACGATTTTTCATCCACAAACTACTTATTAATGAAATATATGGTAGTAAAAATAAGTGCAAAATGTCAAATGTAAGGGGTATAGAGTGAGCAACCTGTTGCGTTGACAAAATTCTTGAATTGTGAGACTGCGAAAGTAATTTTTCTCGGTTCAGACGACTCTCTCTCTCTACGGAATTCAGTTTTCTCTCTTTCTTCTTCTTCTCTCACAATTAAAATTGGGCAGTCCCAAAAGGGTATATCATAGAATCTCTATTTCCCGCAATTCTTCAATCTTCATCGTTTTTTTGTTACTCGCTTTCTCATGGATCCTCCTACCTCTTGGGACTCCTTGCGAAAGCAGGTATTTTTTTCCATCTTTATGAATTATGCCTATATTTGTCGATGTATATACATGAATTGGGTTGATGAAATTGGATTCATTTTGGGGAATTTTATTTGATTTCTTAATTTTTGAATATTATTAGTGAATTCTGAAGGTAAAAGGAATAAACTTTTCTTTTGTTATTGGTATCATGCTTATACGATAGTATTTCATTAGTCCGTAATTTCTATAAGGATGTTTAGGTTTCTTCCATTTGCATAAGTTTTTGCCATAAAAGAGTTATCTATGCAAGTAAAGTAACAGTAAATTCATAGACTTATTGCAATTCCCTTTTTCCTTAAATCTGAAACTTAAAAGTAGTGAACGAGATATTCCTAGGCAAGTGAAAAATATAGTCTCCAATAAGAACAAGCTTTTACAAAGCGTATCTAATCCCTTATATTTAATCAGCTGAAGGAAAATGATATACTGTTTGACTGTTGTCTAGCTCTTGTTATGCAAAGTTGTTTTCTTTATATTTGTTCATTTGATTGCTTCTGCGAGCTCAAGTATAACTGGTCCAATATCTCTTCGAGGCTTTATATCTTGAGTTCTTGACCAGATGAGGTCTAACAATCTTAGTTTATATATCCTTGGAGCCTTGACTTGAGTTCTAGACCAGATAAGGCTTAAAGGTTGCATATTGGTTATGGATATTATGTGGAACATGTTTGGTATTGAACGGGTAATGCAAGCTCCGTAAAAGGAATCCTATTAGAGAAGATCAGAACGAAGAGGCAGAGAATTAGAGCTTGGAAGTAACTCCTCTTACACTTATGTGGACCATATAGAAGGTCAAAGGAATGGAAGTTCAGAAGGTAGTGACAGAGAAGTAGAGCTTGGAAATTAATGCTTATGTGGACCGTATAGAAGGAGAGAAGTAGGTGAAGGTAGTGGAAGGTTTTTTGGTACAAAGTAGACTTGATCGAAAGAGTTGTTTCACTGGAACATATTTGCTTTGTTAGATACTTGGAGTGCCTAAGCTATATTTGTTAGATCCCCTACTTTATCTTATATATCATGTATGTGAGATTTTTCTTTTTGATCAATAAATTACAACTTTCGCCAAAAGTAAAGGCTTACATATGAAAGGTCGAACTTGCTTTTGGAGGTTAAGAGGCTAGAAAAAAGGTCCAATGATTGTGTCTGGGAGGGTGGCTTTTTGTTCACTATATAAAATCGACTAAGAGCCAAAATCACTTGAAGAAACATGAGCATAGTTACTTTTTAACTTCCTGCGGACTACAGCTGATGTTTTCTTTTGGCTTTTGGCTTTGGGTGGTTGTGCTAATTTCTTTGTGTTGATGTTACTATAGCACTCTCTGGGTATTCAAATTGTACTAGCTTGTAATGGTCACAGTCTCTTCGGTGATGATAGTGGTAAATGAAGGAGGTTGGGAAAGCATTTTTCTTGCTTGCGCTCAACTCTTAAAGAATGTTGCTTTTTCTTAAACTTGTGATGAAAAAGAGCTTCCTTAGACGATTTGGAAGCCGGTGAGAATAATGTCAAGTGGGTTGTGTGTGAAGGGGGTCTTTTTGGTTGCCCGTCTTTGCTTTGGCTTGATCGAGCTAAGGTTCTCTGAAAATAATTTTATTCAATCTATGAAAATATTTCTTGGAATTGCATTTTTAGTTACATTTCTTTCCGTTGTCTTTTCTTCCTTATTGATGGTTCTTACTACCAGGCACGGATGCTTGAAGCACAACTGGATGAGCAAATGCATTTGTATCGTAAAGTTGTTTCCACAAAAATTGACAGTGCAAATGATAATGATCTTGAATCCAGTATAAATCAACTACTCAAGCAGCTTCAACAAGTAAATTCACAAATGCAAGCTTGGGTTTCCTCAGGAGGATCTGAGATCTTTTCTCATACGTTGACTCGCCATCAAGAAATTCTTCAGGATCTTTTTCAGGTACTTGAAATTCTTTTTCAATGTTTTCATTGTAATCTGTTATCGTCATAGTACTACAATGACAAAGCATGGGAATTTTCTTCTAACAGAATCATTCCAAGCAAAGTATTATTACTCATTTGTGGAGTTCTAAGATGAATATAACATAGAGAAGTAGCAGAGACTCACATGTACTGGAGCTAATCATCTACCTTTTTGTACTCTTTGCATATTCTTGATGCCTATTAATGAATTCCCCTTACTTCATCAAAATAAATATAACATCAAGAAGTGAGGTCATTCGTAGGAGGCCTCTTTTTCATTTTTATTATGCTTATAATGTGAGTCTGTTGAAGACCAAATCACCATAGCAATTAACTGAGTCCATTGAAGACCACTTCCCCTTTGTATAAGTTCTGATTTACCATCCAGCTTAGCATCTTCCCACTTGCTATTTGCAGCCCGCTCTTGTGCTTATGATGTGAAGGTGAATAACTGGAACATTCGAAAATGGTTCTACTATGGTTCCAGAATCCAGTCTGTGTCAGGATTACAAATCAACTTTACCTACTGAGACATTACTATGCCAGCTGGTCTTTTGACTTAAGTCAAAGCATCGCTTCCCTTCATAGCAGTACAAGGACATTTGCACAGTGTTCTGCCATACTTCATATATTCAGGATACGAATCAACATTATCATAATTCTATAACCAAGATTGCATAAACTTTCGATCTATTACTCACTTTAAACTTACTTTGTAGTTTGTACAACTTCATCGCCCTTATAAAAAACTATAAGTAACTTTTATCAACTGATGGAAAAAGCTTGTTATTCTGTTAATTAAGGGTTCAATAAACAAGCGAAAACCTAAGATTCTTGTGATTCAATATAAAATGGCGCTTCATCAACTTTATAATTGAATTCTGTCATGTGAGATCGCAACCTTGCACTGAGAATCAATGAAATGTCTTATCTAATTTCGTATATTGTGACTTGTAATTCTATGTCAACGGATCAACACATTATTGTTTTTCCTTTCACATGGGATTCTTAAACAATGAAATATGTGATTACAGTCATTTTATTTGGAAACAGATATCTTGTAGCATAACTTGCTATAATTCTTACTTAAGAAGGTTGTTTATACTACTAAAGAGAGCTACAATTCCTGTTGGATTATAGGAGTTTAATCAGCTTCGTTCAAGTTACAGAGCTAAGAAAGAGCATGCTTCACTGCTTGAAGATTTTAGGGAATTCGATCGGACTAGATTAGATCTGGAAGATGGCAGTGGGTCATATGATCAAGCACTCCTTAATGAGCGTGCTTCCCTTCATCGGAGTACTGGACAGGTATATCTTTGTAGTAAATTGCTTTTCTTGTTATGCTATGAGGAATGAAATTTCTTAGATATTCTCATGATGTTGAACACAAGTGAACAAACATAGTTTTTCAATGTGAGCTGAATTCATTGGCTCTTTCAGACTTGTGAGGAAACTAGAAAGTTCCACCACTAGTTATGAAGTTGAATATGTCTTTCCAGAGTTAAGTTCCAAACAGTTAAACTGCCTTGAAATTACTTTTACATGTTGCTTCTCTCGCAGTGTGGATCTCCTGTTTTCTTCAAATATGATTGTATGGTAACAGTCCTGGGTATGAATATATATTCTATGGAAAGAAGAACTTGAACTTGTGGAGAATTAGGGGTCGTTTGGTAGGATGCATTAGAGAAAATAATGCATGCATTAGCTTTTGGTATTACTAATCCCTTGTTTGGTACACTTTTTCAACCTATTTGGTATTATTCTATGTATAACTAATAATGGTATTAGCAATACCAAGGCTATTAATGCATGCATTAGCATGGTTAAAGATAAAATATTCCTTAAAGTCCCTTAAAGTTAAAGAATATGCAGGGCATTTTTGTAAACAACTAATTTTCTTAAAAATTGTGCAATGTATTTTAATTTTTAACACACCACACCAAACAGTGAATAAAAAATAATCTTTGCATAACTAATGCTTGCATTACTAATCCATGCATTTCTAATCCCTGCATTACTAATACACCTTATTCAACATTGTTCTTATACACCCTACCAAACGAGCCCTTAGTCACGTAACTGATTTAAGAGTAAATTATTCTACAAACCTTTGTTATATGACTCAATTGCAGATACACCCCTTGTATTTTAAAATCAAACACTTACACTCTTTATATAATCGAAATTCTACACAAAATGGTATCCTCATTTTTGCCTTTCTGCCCTTCCAGGGTAAGGGTAAAGCTGCGTGCATCTTACCCTCCCCAGATCCCACTTGTGGGAAATCACTGGGTTTGTTCTTGGTATCCCCATTTTTAAAATCAAACATTTAAACCCTTAATACAAAGGGACGTTCATCTAGCTAAGTAAATTAAGAAAAAATTGACCGGAACAATAAAAAATAAACTAAACTAAAATTGGAAATTTCATATATTAAATATAATCATTTTAAAAAAAACATAGCTTACATGCTCAAGTGCAAGAAAGTTATTGCTTGTGATTTATATATCTCATTAAGTAATTTGGTCATTTTCTATTTAAGAGTTTTGGAAGATTCATGTTTCAAAAAAATGTTTAATCAAAGGCGTGAATAAAATTTTTCAACCTAAATGTTTGTTCTTTTCTCAAATATCATAAGATTAAACAAGTAGGAACTTTCTGTTTGTAGTTTAATCTGTCTTTTAGTTATTCTATTTTCATATACTTATTTCCGAATATACCTCATGTTTTTAAAGGTAAACACTTATAGCCTGTTTGGCCAAGCTTCTCAAGAGGTCTAAAGTGCTTTTTTTCTCAAAAGCACTTTTTTTTTCTAACTTAAGGTGTTTGGCCAAGCTTTTTTGGGGGAAAAATTACTTTTGGAAAGAAGCAGAAGCAGTTTCTGAGAAGCAGAAAAAATTAGCTTCCCAAAAGTGAAGCAGAAGCAGTTTTGACTTTTCTTCTTACCAAATATACCCTTAACAAAATATAGTATATACCAAAATAACCGTTAAACCTAATACGTAGGATATTAATGTATAAATATTTCTTATTATTTTTAGGATAGCTTTCTAATATATAGTGACTTTAGGGGTGAATGCTTTTATATTTGTTGAATGATTTTAATATATTTAACTTATATTAAAAGAATTAAGTACTTTTAAATTTTATTTTCATATTTTATTTAAATAAAATGAAAAGATTTAATTATTACAATAACAAATTTTTAAGATTATTTATTTACTTATAATATTAACTATTAAGTAAATCTATTCATGTCCTTATTCATAATTTGATATTTAAACGCATTTTATGAAAAGCTTGGCCAAACATAAATTATTGCTCAAAAGTGTTTTTCGAGTGATTAGCCAAACACAAACTGCTTCTCTCAAAAAGTACTTTTGAAAAAAGCACTTCTCAAAATAAGTTGATTTCTCCAGTTTGGCCAAACAGGCTATTAACCTCCTTGTAAATTGAGAATGTTATTCGAACTAATATTTGGGTATGATATCCATTGCATTAAAGGGTTAAGTGTACGATTTTTAAATGCAACGGGTGTATCTGCAACTGAGTCACATTACAAGGGCGTCTAGTGTAATTTATCCTTGATTTAACGATCTTGATCCGGATAGGGAGGGTAAAATAGACGTTGCAGTAAGCAATATGCTATTGTGTCCTTAATTACTGTTAGTGTTCCATATTGGTTAAGGGTATAGACTAAAAGGGCAGCCCGGTGCACTAAGCTCCCGCTATGCGCGGGGTCCGGGGAAGGGCCGGACCACAAGGGTCTATTGTACGCAGCCTTACCCTACATTTATACAAGAGCCTATTTCTACGGCCTGAACCCGTGACCTCCTGGTCACATGGCAGCAAAAAAAATATTGGTTAAGGGTATAGACTATAGTCTCTTTATATGGTCTTGGTCTTGGACACAGTTGTCAAAAAATGGTCTTGGCTTGGACAATCCCCAATCCTCACTGCAAAATGAGCTAAACTTTTGAGGTTAAGTTAGGTTCAAAGTCTATCTTTCTTAACATGTATCAAAGTCAGATTTATCCCTGATGTTGGGTTACCAAATGTTAGGCTCCCAAATAATGTTATCCACACTTCAGTTATCCAACCACGAGTAAGCAGGGAAATGTTAGAGTCACTCATTGGTTGAGGATGAGTTGTAATCTTTTTATATCGTCTTGAACAATCCTTACCTCGTGCGCTAGCATTTTGGGGTTGAGTTAAGTTTAAAGTCTATCTTAACAGATACAAAATCTTGCAACAAAATGGTTAGATGAATTTTTGAGTTAAAATTAGTCGAGGAAAATTTGAAATGAAGAAATAAAAAGAAGAGTAAATCTCTTCCTATGGTCATACAACTTCCAAGTTTGGACCTGTATTTCTGAGTACTTGTTTTATGGGGTTTTCATTATGTCGTTACCTTGTATCTACGCATATTTTTATGATTAAATGTTGACTTATTCTGGTATAGATGGATGGTGTAATTTCTCATGCTCAAGAAACCATGAAGGCACTTGTGTTTCAACGATCAACATTTGGTGGCATCAATTCAAAACTCAGCAATGTCACCAGTCGCCTTCCAACTGTAAGGAAACTCTTTTCAAGATTCAACATTTATGCATTTCATTAACATCAAGATTGACCAGCATTTAGGGAAGTTAAAGTTCTCATTATTTTGATAGAAAATTCTATTGAGATCTTAAATATCTTATGCCTCGTCCACGTAAAACTACGATAAAAGTAATTCTTGATACAGTAGTGATCGTGTAAACCACCCATTGAGCGGTATTCTTAATATATTTGGATTTGTTGCAGGTGAGATTGTTCTCATGTATTCTTTGCTTTAATCTAATTTGTTTGACACACAATTTTGCAGGTCAATCATATTCTTTCAGCAATAAAGAAGAAAAAATCAATGGACACAATCATTCTTTCATTAGTTGCTTCTGTATGTTTGTTTCTCATTTTGATTTACTGGTTGACGAGATGAATCAGGTATTATGCTGGTCTTTTTGATAGAGAAGGATGAGCACGGTCTTTGCTCATTTTTATTGTTTGTATATTACGCACCAGAGTAATTTTTGTAATTTTTCATTCTTACACATTTAAGATGGTTTATTGATTTCTTTTATCAAGCACCCGATTTTCTCAAATACAACTTATAAATGCTAATTCTGGAGAATTATTGATTTGTAGGAATGAATATGATTCAGTTGTAACTGTCTTTGTTTTCTCTTTTTATTACTCTTTGCTCCAACTTATCTTGCACATTTTCTATATGGAGTCTGTGTGACTTAACTTATTGACAGTAGCTAATAAACTTGAAATGTAGAAGCTGATCTTATAAATAATTAATTAATATGATTCATCAACACTTTCTTCAATTAAATCACTAAGAAAGAGTTGATTATCGCAAGATTTTTAATTCCAAATTGATTCAATCACAAATAGAAGTGTATATAAGCTGAAAAACCATATGTGAGGGCAATTAACTGATTTTAAATCATACGCATTTATTTTTGGAAAAATGACACTGTATAGCTGCTCTCAAAATAATAGCCGATAAAATGTATATTTTTTGTATACATATACATTCTATATGTTATATATAAAATTATATAAATTTTATATGCTTATTCGGCTACCAAATATAAATAATTTTTTGCGTATGCTAAAATTGAAAAAAGCCCATCATTTTTTGTGTTTAATACACCCATAGAAGACATTTGTGTTTAATACGCCCATAGAAGACAAAAAGTGCCTATTCACATGGTGTAATATAAAATGGCATGGAGTAGTTACCCATAGCAGTATAAAAATAAAAAAAAAAAAAAAAATCGTGTTTTTTTGTTGCGAAAAATCTGAATTTTCTTTTTCTCTCGGTCAGAAATGGAGTTGATTAACTTGTGACTTTACTTGATTTTGACTTATAAGTAGATTTTATGTTTACTAAACACATAAATAATCTAAAAGTTGCATATTTTAATGGTGTAATATAAAATGTGATAGTAATAGCCCAATTTAAAGTGAAAACACTAGGTAGCAATACGAAAAAATACAAGAAAAGAATATAAAAACAAATTCCAATCTTGGTATTTGGTTGAAAACAGCTTTAAGTACAATATATTTGTCAGTCAATTATTTTTTTTAAAACTAATCTTTTCGTAAGTACATATATTTTAACAGTAAGTTTGTTCTCTAAAATCTTTTTCTAGAATTAATGATTAGACAAGGATCCAGTTGTTTGTAATTGAATTGGAAAGAAAATTTTATGCCTCAGTACTTTAAGTACATTATATTTGTCAAAGCATACATATCAACAGTTAAATTATTGTTGAATTGAGCAACAACTTTACGCCAAAAACAAACTCTAATTTAGACAATGCAAGAACCAGGATCATAATTTTTTTTTAATCAAGACCATAACTTCGGTCTTGTCATTGTAAATAAAAGCAAATAAATTACTGATATGCTTCTTTCTTGGGAAAATTACACGATATATCAAATATTTACACTGTATTTATCATTCGTAGCTATACTTTCAGCAAATTTACCATTCGTAGCTATATTTGAATTTTATAGCAATAAGAAATTAATTGTTTTGAACTGAAATAAGAGACCAACAAGCTTTCATCGCTCAGTTGGTTAGAGTACATGCTTAGTTAGTGAAGGTAAGAGTTCGAATCTCAACAAGAATATTTTATTTTTCTGTATTTTTGTATTTCGCCTTAATTATATTCGTTGCACGAAAACAAATACAGTTGATACAAGTTGTATCCTTTATATACACCCTTGTATTTCGTCTTGGTTACAATTAATATATATTGTATTCGCTGCACGAATGAATACAGTTGCGTCACCGAATACAGTTGATACAGGTTGTTCATCGCGCGAACGAATATAGATGACACAGGCTGTATTCATTGCGCGTTTGAATACAAGTGATACAAGTTATTAACAATTGAACAGTAGTTATGAATGATAATTAGATAAATTATAGTTATTAGCCTCTAAATTATAGTAATTTTTGAAAATTCTTTTTATAGTCCTTACAAAGGTTTCTCCTGTGCTGTATTTTCAAAGGGGGGCCGTTTAAGATAAGACAGACAGATCTCGTAAGAGATTTGATTTAACTTTTCTGATTAGAGGAAGCATACATAACATTAATTCCTAAAACTTAAATGAGGACAAACGACAACTCTTCGTGTCAATTTGACAACAATATTTTGAACCAATGGTATAAACATGACGAAAAGAAACAAACGGTATAAACGTGAATTTTAGACTAGATTATAATTAAGCTAGGTTCTAGTAGAGTTTATATGTTTTAATATATCACTAATATACTAACATGATTGAGTTAGTAATTTGTATTTTATATCCAATTAATTTTAAGAATGATTTAATTTCTAGTATGAAAATATTTGCTAAAAGAATTTGTTGATGAGCTCCTGACATAAAAAAGATACCTTTAAAGTTAAGTTCGAATTATTTCAGGTGATTTAATCAACATTTTAATAATTGATAAATAACTACGATTGATTGTCGATTACTATGGAGATTTTTTTATACTATTAGGATTAGACGGAATTGTTAAAAGAGTCTATTCTCTTCCTTTTTTTTTTAACTGAGTTACCAGCATAGAAAATACCCTTTAAATATGTTAAGTTCAAATTATATCAGCTGATTATATCAATATCTTCATAATTCAGCTTTTGCTATTCATAATCAATTAAGTCAGCCCCTTTCTCGTGAGAAGGATAGTGGGTAGGGGTATCTTTCTCCAGGATATTTTACTCATCGAAAATAATTCCAATTTCCACGTATATAAATTGAGGGGAAAAAAAAAGGAATTCAAACGGACGTGATTAATATTTCTGTTGGTATATGATCTAGGGCAGATGCAATATTGAATCACCGGTTCATTTGAATTCAATACTTTTGACGCGAAGTACAAATTTATATGTAAAATTTTACTTAAATTGCAATAAATAATAGGTCCGAATCCATAATTTAAAAAATATAGTAGAAGTGTTAAAATCCTTAAAGTTTAAACCCATAAAATTTAAATCTTGAATCCGTAGGTGATGAGCTAGCAGAGCTCGCTTGTGCTGAACTGAGAAAGAAAACAATCAAAGAGTACGTAGAAGTTCAAGCATGAAAGTGGAGGCACCTCGACCAAAAGCTCTTTAAATTGACATTTAATCTCTCTTTTTTCAATTTATTTGGTATAATTTAACTCGGCATTATAAGAACTTTTATATTTATAGTCTCAAAAAAATTACCATAGATACTTTGTATAACTATAAAATCATGATAATCATTAAGGATGACAGTGGCGGACCCAGAATTTTGTGCAAGCGGGTTCAATCTTAGAAGTACATAACTTTAGTCGTAAAATAGTAGTTGTCAAGTAAGTTCAAATAAAATATTTATACAAAATTTACGCAGCTTTAATCTTAATTTATACATATACACAATATTATTTTTTGATGAAACGGATTCAGTTGAACCCGCTTGCCACCACGTGCGTCCGCCACTGAATGATAACATGAAAAATTTAAAGATAAATTATTTTTAAATATATAAAGATATCCTCCGATAGACTAAAAAAATATCACATAAAATACGACAAAAATAGTATCACTTGTTTTTTCCCACAAGCTTGATTAAACACCTTTTACTCTTCAAAATAAGTACGTATTTTTTACCAGACAAATGACATTTCTATAGAATTTGGTAAATGTTTGGCCAAACAGACTGCATGCCATTGGAGAAAAATTAGCTAAGGCAGTTTAGGCTCAAATGAGAAAATGCTGCTCAAACAACCCAGTTTTCTAAATTAATCTTATCTTAATAATGTGTTAAAATCAGGATTTAACTTCCACTTCTATAATACTACAACCCAAATTTCTCTCATTCGTCAATAGGGTGAACATGACAAAAAAGAAAAGTGAAAAGGAGTAACACAGTAAACGAGGACTTACATCATGGAAATATATTATAGTAATAATTAAAAAGCAAAGATTATACTTATCTCAAGGGTTTACTTTTAAGATTTGATGATGATAAACTAACAAAATCACTAAACTTAGGGGATTAAAATATAATTAACGAGGCACAATCAAAGAAAGTTAAGTTCGAATTATTTCAGGTGATTTAATCAACATTTTAATAATCGATAAATAACTATGATTGATTGTCGACTACTTTGGAGATTTTTTTTATATTTGTTATAAAATATAACTCAAAGTAACAATATAGAATAAGAAAAAACAAGCTCAGAGATATAGAGAGAAAAATATGAGAGATTCATATTTTTTCTTCAATTATTTTGTATTTCCTATCTATTACAAGATCTTTATATATGCATGAAAAGTGTAGAATCACTATTGTAAAATAGTGAGTGAAATAGCCATTATTTAGTGGAATGACCACTATTGAGAGAAATGGCCACTATTGAGTGGAATTGTCACTACATAAATATGTCATTAAGCATTTAAGAGGAAGATGGGNTTAGGAAAAAACCTTACGGGAAGAAAATCCTAGTGAAGGAAAAAGAGTACACATATCATGTAATACGCATTGCTTGCTGCCTCATTAAAAACCTTGCCAGGAAAACCCAGTGGGATAAAACCGTAGCTAAGGGAAAAAGAGTACATCGCGTATTTGCTTCCCCCTGATGAAAACATCAATTTATTTTACCGAGATGATGTGTTCTGATCCTGTATACCAACTTCTCAAATATTGAGGTTAATCATGCTTCATTGAATAGAATCACCAAATTATCAAACGAACAAATTTATTGAACATCTATTTCACCATTCGGTGAAGATTGTGTCTGATAAAGAACTTTGATGAAATATATGATTTATTATGTCTCCTTCAATATATCCTTCTTTCAATTGAGATAAACAAACATTATCGTCTTCACAATTATCGGAGTCTTCTCTTCAAAGAAAAATCACACATCGGTTGTGTGTTGAGTGACTTGATTTATCAGTTGCTAGTAAATTGACATGACTTGAATAAGTATCAACAATTGACTGCCTTGGGAAATAATAATATGGTAGTATCCTCACATACAAATAGATTGTTTGAAGAACGAACTTCAAACAATGCCTGCATTTGCATAACCAACAA